GAACGTGCATCTCCTTCATCTGAAACATCAGTGGCTCCAGCAGAATCATCCAGGGAATAACTGGAAGATATAATCTCGTTGCTTTTTGAGAACCATTCATTGACCTTCTGAATGCTTCGCTTCAGCCTCTTCCTGGAGACTCGATTCACGGTGCCAGAGGGAAGTGTCTTCTCTGGCTGAAGCAGCTTCTCCTCAGGAAGTTCTTTGTCATGGAAAGAGTCATTCTCAGGTTCAGACACCTCCACAGCTTCCACACTTTCCTTGCTTTTATCCAGCTTGCTCCCTGAACTATCTTTTAAGTCAAACTCTTTGTTTTCACTGTTGGACTGAGTTTGCTCTTCATCCGTTTCTTCTGTGCTCTCCAAAAATGATGTGCCCCTGTTTACTGTGGGGCTGGAATCACCTGTTCTGTCACACTGCTCTGGAGATAGATCTGCAGGAAGAGCATTTAAAGGAGGACTCTGGCACTCAGTCACATCCACTTGGTCAGGTTTGGCACATTCAGCGACGCTCTGAGCGCTTTTCTTGCTTGAGCCTTCCTTCGAGAAATCACTTTCACCTGTTAGATCTATAAGTGTTGTAAATTATTAAGCCCTACTTTACACACACAAAAACCTTGTTTTAAAAGAACTGTTCTTATTTCCCCCCAAACCAGAATATTACACTGCACAAATCTCCCTCTAGAGAAAAGCAGAGATATTACACATGTTCTTCTAACTTCCCACATGAATTACCAGACAGTGCTCTCTGTCTGTACTGTAATACAGGGATAATTACATTTTGATCAAGTTACTTTTTTTCTTTCTGATCCTGTGCACAAAATATTCACATTTTAAGTATCTATTCAACCAGAACAGTCTTGCATTACAGTGTCATGTAGGCATCAGCAGAACTACAGCACACAAGACTGCAACTATATTTATATCTACCTATCTAGATATATTCAATAATGCCAAATATTAACTTGTGGTGCTTCTTTCAAGCTTAAAATACCTCTGTCACCAAAATAATAAAACACACCTGTGACATTTGGTGGTGCTATTTCTTTGGCACACAGCTTGTCAGGCTGTGCACTGCAAGAATTTTCATTCCCCTTCTCAACACTCTCAAGTTCTTCGAGCTTTCCTTGGGGAGAAATCTGAACTGCAGCTTTGTCTTCCAACCTGTTGGGGAAAGAAATCTACTTTTACTACAGAGAAAGCCACAACAGACAGAACAGAAGATTATACTTATTTTTTTTATCTTTTTTTGCTCTCTGAAATAGTTCCTGGGGAAGCCAGGCTGCAGAATTGACACTCACCACAACCAGACCCCTTCAGAGTTTCAGGCCACAACTTTAAGAGACCCCCCTCTCACATTCCTGAATTTAACACTTTCTAAAGCACAGCACCTACTTTTCTATTGAAGGACTAATGTCTATGTAAGCAATAAAACATCTAGAAAACCATTTAAAGCACATAAGATGGCAAAGTGTTGAAATTCAGCCACCCATTCTACCCTATCATTTGTCACTTTTAAGAATTCTATCAGTCCTATGCTAAGGAACTAAAACCTAGGAATGAGAACACTGAACTAATTGTCTTTAGAAGATAATAATTCCTTAATCACCTTCACTTACCCAGTTTTGCTTGCCTGTTTAAAAAACTCTTCAGATGATTCAGAACCTGAAAACAAAAAAATCAGCTGTTACTCTGGTTGGAATGATTCAGGGAAAGGTGACTTGCTAGACTCAGTGTTTATCATCACATGCACACCAAGTTCTTTCTGGAGGTGTAGATGTTTTCAGCTTTTATCGGATGAAATCAACTTCAATCATAAAGTATTTTGATTTATCAGCTTGGAATTACCCGTAATTTCTCCGCTTATTGTCCTCTTAAGGAGAAATTAAGTGTTTACAGACACTTTGAACTTCATTTATTTGCAAGCACTTTACATAAGATCAACCAGCGTGGATCTACAACAGATCTTACCCAGCTCCACATAAACCCCTTTCTGAGGGTCACATTTCTGGGGTTTGTTGCTCAGGCGATTCCTTTTGACCCTGGTATCTGTAAGCTGAGTGTTCACAGCAGTTTCCTGCTGACAGGAGAACAGAAATGAAGTTATTTGAAAAAACCCTCACTTGTAACTACTTAAACCATGGCAGGAAGGGCTGATAGAAATGCTCTGTCATGAGAATTTGTAGCTTCTGTGCAGAAATCCAACACGAGTAATTTGCTATATTGATATCAGCAATGGAATGTGTCAATAGAAACAATTATCATGCATTTGACAGATCAAAACATTAACAGTTTGATCTTACAAGCAGGACAGACAAGTTTGCAAGCCTAGTTTCAGTAAAAGACTGTAATATAGAAATATCATCTATAAGTTCAGGTTCTTTATGCAAACATCTTTTTCAAGCAGGTTAGGAAGCCAAAAATCCAGGGTATTATTCAAGTCAAACATCAATCTGAGAGCAACCCAAAATCTCCTACTTCCTTCATTGATGTATATGCATCTATCTACATTCCAAATAAACTTTTAAACAACCCAGGAAAATGAAATGGGAAAAAAAACCCCAATTACCGAGGTGAGGTTTTCTTGTCCATTTTCTTCAGCACTCTTTCTCCTGTTCCTGAAGCCTTTACTTTGAACGACTGAACTTTCTTTACCCAGGAACTCAGTAGCAGTGGTTTCTGTGGATGTTTTATGAATCTGATGACTCTTTAAAACTGAAAAATGTTCATAGGGGGGCAAAAAAAAAAAATCTTGACCTCACCAACTGATTTTTCCAACCAATTCTGCTTATACAGATAAACTAGCAAGAACAGGATCTAATACTACTGATTTTAGAATGGCTGAGCAGGTTGAAGATAATTTGAAAACAAAGTATTTTCCACAGCACAATATACAAAGCCCCTCCCCAAACAAAAGTCATCTGTCCCCAACCAGAATGTCTTCTCTATCAAAATAGAAACAGTCACATGTCTGACTTGCCAATGCCTTTTACAAAGTACTTATTCAAAGTTTGCATTCACAAAGAATATATCTGAATTTTGATAATTCTTCCCATATTTAGCATTGCACGTTAAATGGGATACCTTATAAACAACGATAAATGTCAAAACTTTATTTAAAAAAAAAAAATTGGGGGCATACGTTCACACCACTTACACTTCACTCCAGTGTCAAGCTCAAAAGCGTGGATAGTTTCCAACAATCCTTCAATGACTTGCTTAAATCTAGAATTTTCTTTCAGGCTCCTGAAATAACATCGGTACTTGAGTTGTTTTAAGACAAACGACTAGAAATACTTCTCTTAGAATATAAGCTGAACAAAAAAAAGGGGTAGAACTCTCAAGTGGAAGATGAGACAATGAGAAATTGTTGCCAGGGAATAATAACCCAGTTCCCCCAACCAACCATTATGAATTAAAACTATCACAAAAATGAACATTTCATGTTTTTCCTCACATAGGTTTGGCAGAGTTGTAATGATTGAACAGTGATACAGCACAAACATCTGTTAACAGAGGTGTGTTCCCCTGCCATCACTGGGAAAAAGCTTACACTGAGATAAGGTTCTGCAGTTACTCCTTTAGACATAGATTATTTAATAACCACCTTTTCTTCTTTATTTCAGTCTTATGCTGAGGCATTTTAAAGACAATTTTGCTCACAGTTCAAACCCCCCATTCTCCAGCCCCCTTACAAAGACAGGTTTCCCACCTCTTGGTAACTTCAGCCTTACACAGAGGACACTGCACCACACCTTTCTTCTTCTTGCTGAGCAGTTTGAACATGCAGAACCTGGGAAAAAAAAATAACAGTAGTCTTGATGGTAACAAAAGGAGGAGATTAGCACTGAAGAAGTATACATGGAAATTAAAAACAGATTGACTAAGCACTGCACTTGCAAGTTTTCAAACCCACCTGCAGAATATGTGATCACATTTCGTTGAAACTGGCTCTTGTACCACATCCAAGCTACAAAAAGAAAAACATAAATAAGTGGATAGAAGTTACAGACACTGTAGGGATCCATATTCTAAGTAAAACCTTTGCTATTTCAGCATTTGTTTGCTGAACTACAGACCTCACTTTTCAGGGACAAGGGGGGAAAAATCCACCCTACTTTACAAACAACATTCTAATCCAATCAGATAATTTTTCCCCCCTCTCTAGATAGAGAACTGGAATATTTAGGTTGTAAGAGAAAACCAAAATATACATTCTGTCTTATACTTTGTCACTTGAGCCTTACAAAACATCAATATACTTGGTCTTCAGCAAGAATCCCTTTGATTTGTTGTAAATCATTGAACTGACAAAACATTTGCAAAGAAAGGGGGGGGGGGAAGATAAAAACCAAAAAAAAACCTCCTTAACCATATTGATATTACTCCCAGGCATACCATATCGGGCACTCCAAGTTCTTCTGCATAGCCGAAAGCACATTTTGTATGTGCCCAACAGTAATCACCGAGGAGTCCATCCTTTACATCCAAAAACAGTCTGGAGAAAAAAAAGAAATAATAATCAGGGTTCACTGCGGCTTTCAGCAGAAACTCCGGGCGCAGAGAGCAGGACAGCGGGGAAAGGGGGCGTTCTAGGCGGGAAAAGGCGATCCCGATCCCACCCCCGTCCCTCAGCGCCGCGTTTCGCGCCCTTTCCGCCGCTCCGCGCGCAGCCAATCAGGCCCGACTGGGCGGGGCCGGAGCTCCCACCGCGCCCTCCTATAGGCTCCTCCCTCCGAGGAGGGGCGTGGCCGGGTAGGCTCGGACGCCTCTGATTGGCTCTGGCGCTTCCGCGTACCGCCCCCCCCGCCGTTTGGGATTGCCAGCGTTGGCGCAGGCGCGGCCCGCGTGTTGTGCCGGGCTCTGTTTATTGTTGTGGTTCCGTGGCGCCCGGCCCCGCCCCCGCCCCGCCCCCTCCGGCCAATCAGGTTGGCGAGCGAGGTGAGCGACAGGCGGGGCGGCCAATAGCGCTGGGCGGAGGGGCGTGGGGGGGGCCCGACAGCCCTTCGGGCCGCCATGTTGGGCTGGTCGGGCCGGCGGCCGGCGCTGCCCCCGGGCCCGCGGGAGCGCCCGATGGAGCCCGCGGTGGAGCCCCCGGTGGAGCCCACCGTGACCCTGCTCGTCTCCTGCCGCGGCCACACCCGCAGCTTCCTCGTGTCGGACCCGGCGCGCACGACGTGGGCCGATGTGGAGGCCATGGTGAGCGCGGCCCGGCCGCGGGAGGTGGGGAAGGGGGGGGGGGGGTTGGAGCCGCCTTAGTGACACGCTGGCCGTGCCAGCGGCTCTCCGAGGGCCCGGCATCTTCTCTCACGCCTTTTAAAGCCTTCCCCCCCCCTTTTCCGAGGTTCTTAGCGCTGGCGGGAGTTCGTGCCGCTGCAATCTCCGGTTGCCTTTTAGCCTTTAACTCCTGCTGTGTGCTTAGAGTGACCTGAAAAACCTGTTTCGGAAAAAAAGATTCTTATGGGTCCTTTTTTTTTTTTTTTTCCCCCTGTGCGAGCAGGTGTCCTTAGTTGTGTTCTTTGCCCATTTCCACGGCTACAGACGCTTGGTTTTGGCCTTGTCCCCTTCTGTAAAGTACACTCCGTTCCTCTTATCTCCCGTTCTTTTACTCATTGAAGTAGTTCCTGTGAAGTCACGCGTGTCTGTCGCTTGCGTGATGTGTTTGTGCTTTCTGGGCCACCGAATCACTAACACGTTTTTTGGCCCCTTGTTTCCAGGAGCTCTGTGTGTGCCAGTTTGGACAGAAGAGTGTCTGACTGGGCCACGTGTGGGTGGGCAGTTGCTTATGAAGGTCTTTATATATTCTTGGTATAGTCCAAAGTTTTTGTTTGGATATATTTTTTTTTTAGGGCTATTTTGGAAAACTTCTGGGTAAGGCTAAAATTGGGTTGTAAACATTCCCTTGGCTGTTATGAAGCTAATGTTGGGGGGTTGGGTTTGAGTTATTATTCACTCTGTAACAACTGCTCTGTTTTTTTAGCTCACTTTTAGAGTTGCACCTTAAGAGAGGTCTTGTCACTATTTTCTTTTCTCTCTTTCAGCTCTTCCCCTAGCTGTCATTTTTCCAGAGTGCACGCAGGAGCCTCTTGCTCTGTGAATTATCTGAGCTCCTTGAAATGTAGCATCTTCACTTGTTGCATTTCAGTCCTCTGGAACAGGCCCTAGTTCAGCCTTAAAAATCCTTAGTGGCAAGTAGAGCCTGCAGGAATGTCTGAGCCAGTCAGAATCCTGCTTGCATCAAGGCTGGAAGCAGATTAGTGTGTAAGCACCCTGTTGCCCTTAATCTTAGGTAGTCTCAGAGCCGGGGTGTGTTTGTTCAAGGTGTGGTGTTGTATTATTATAATGCTTCCCCAACCAACACCGTGGCTTTCCTCTGCTGTGGGAATTGCTGTTTCAAGAGGGTATCAGTTAAAACTCTGCCTTTCCTGTGTTTTAATACTTTATTGGACGTGTTTAAAGAGGGAGAACCCGATGTCTCATTCCAGCCCCTGTCAGCTGAGGGTGTTCTGTTAGCTCTGGGCTGGCAGAAAATGGTCAGGTCTTGCAGAGAGTTTCTGCTGGGAGAGATGCACCTGGTTGCAGGTACCTGGTGCAAAACTGCACAGGAGCTGTGGGTACTTAACTCAGCACGTGGAAACATCTGGTTTGTGGTTCATTTGGTGCTCTTCACTCTGCCCTGTTGATGTAAAAATGCAAAAACAGCTGCTCAGCTTTATTCTCCAAATTCTGAGAGGTTAAAAAAGGCTGGTCACCTGTGTGAGTTGTCTTCTTCCAGGTGCTTTCCAACACAAAAGGGGGTGTTTGGGGATTGTTTGCCTTCACCTTCGCGTTCTGCAGTGTTTACCACCACTGAGTTTATTAACCCCAAGCTTGTCCTCTAAGAATGGGAAGGTTGTTATCATTTGTTTTGGAGTAAACATTAACTAGGGGAGGTGCAACATGAAAGAAACGAGTTTGTTCTTTTCATCAGGGGAAGTTTGTAACGGTTGGAGGGAAGGGCTCAGCTTCAGAGGAATGGATTTTGTAAAACAGCCTTTGTTTCAGCTGAGAAACTGAAGGGAGGGGTGGAAGGGTTCTGATATTACCCCCAATTATTAATCATGTTTAACTGAGGACACCTGTAGCCCTGTCTCATTGTGGGTTTGTGTTCATTTTTTTTCATTGCAGGTTAAAGTTTCATTTGACCTGGACAGCGTTCAGATCAAGTACCTCGATGAGGACAATGATGAGGTAAAATATCTGCCACCACCCCACCCTCCCAACAGGTTAACCAGAAAATGGCTGGTGGGAACCTTTCTGCCTCACAGTAATTTGTAGTGGGTCCTTCAGGAGCATCTGTTATGCAGGTGGGATAGGAGGGGTTTGTCCCTCCAATAAGAAAATAGCTGTGAGTCTGGTGGTTTTATTCTTAATGCAGCATACATATTTTAAAATACCTTTTTAGAAGATGCTGCCTTTCTTTTTCCCACCCCATTGAAACAGCCAGTGGTTCTGTGTGCTCTGTTTCTGTCGAGGAGCTTGATTTTTGTTTTTATGAGAACAAGATAGTTGTAACTATCGGTGTTTGCAGCCATGGTAAAGCCCTGTCTCTTCAATCTACACTCCTTCCCCTGGCAAATGTAGGTCCCTTCTCATTAGCATATGTTTGCTTCAGTGATCTGCTGTACTCAAATCCTCTGCTTGCTTTATGCAATTGCTGTAATCTCCAAGCAGATTACTGACTCAGAAAACAAATTGGTTACTTCTAGTTGTCCTTGTTGAGTAACTTCCTGCTTGGCAGAGCCTCACCCTCTCGTGTTCTTTCTGTTTATCTGGAGGTTCAGTGGAAAATGGAATTCTTGGACACAGAGGACCTTTTGCAAACCCCACAGTTCCACTGCTTGGGTTACAGCTCAACTAAACTGCAGAGAGGGAGTCCCTGTAGTTATTTTTTTTTTTTTCCCCCGTAAGGGGAAATGTCAAGATGCTCCCAGCAACCTTTCAGGGAAAGATTCTCCCCTTATTTTCCAACCTGTATATTATATAAATATACAGATGCATCTGTGCAAGCTCTCTTTGAAATACTGGTCAGACTGACCAAACCTTGTTCAGAACTGTGCAGTACTGGAGGCATTAAACAGCTTCTTGTACTGGTGATTTCTGTGTGCAGAATGGATAAATGAGTATCTGCAGAGATAAGCTTAGAAATGCTTAAATATCTGGAGCGTTGTTTTGGAAAATCCAAATAAAAGTATGTGGAAGTGTGTTAATTTTCAGAGAATTGCAGAAATCTGCCTGTGGCTCTCGCTCACTGTTATTTCTCTTTGCAGGTCTCTGTGAACAGCAAAGGTGAGCTGCTGCTTTATTGAAGGGAAATCAAGAATCAGACCCCAGCCTTTTTTTCTTGTGTTTTTTTGGAGGAGCACTTGGGAATGCTTGCTTTCTGATTTCCGTATTTTATATATCACTGGGCATCAAATTCTTCCCAAAGGAAGGAGGTTTTGATCTGGAGGAACAAATTAGGTGTGGTTAAATTAATGGAATGTTGCAGCTCTTTGCTGTGAGAAGGTGTGCTTGTTGCTGTATATTGAGATTTTTTCTTTCAGTAGCACTACTTTAAGATAATTTACAGAAGGTAATGGTGGTTTAAGACTCCCTAAATACTTTGTGCTAGATTTGTATCTGTTTGAGATAGGGAAAATTCACACTTGTCTCTTTTTCTTTAGAGGAATATGAAGAAGCTCTGAAGGTAAATGCTCTCTTTGACTTTCTTCAACTTGTTCACTCAGACTCTACTGCCAAACATTAAAACTTCTATTAGTGTCAATGCTTAGCTACTTCATAAGCAGTTAATTTTATGTAGACAAAATAAAATTGCACTCCTTTACATTTCAGTTTTACTTTATTAATGTTTTTGGAACTTTTTGCTCATGGTCTGATTTTCAAATCTGATCATTTGAAAATAATCAGAAATTCCTGGACAGAATCTGTTATTTACTGGCACGTGTGAACACTTTATTTTAGGCTGAAAAATTCCTGTAGGATATCTGCATTATTATCCTTTGGCATGTAATAAACCTTTTAATAAGCATATTGGTAACCTTTAAGAAGTAGAATATCAGTTGACTCTACCTTGGCATCTCTCTCAGTTTTGTTTTTATCTGTTAGTTCTCTCCAGTGCTTTATCTTTACAGATTTTGTATGCTGACTGAAAGTGGAACATATGGTGTTTGTGTGTCCTGTTTATTTAGATTGCAGTTAAACAAGGAAATAAACTTCAGATGAATGCCTATGAAAAAACCCCTGCTTGTGCTCTGCAAGGACCTGAAAAAACTGTGACAGAAAAGCTGAGGCTTCTGAAAGATGAGAAGAAACCTCTTTTATGCTATTCCATGCTCTCTCAGGGATTACAGGAAGAATTAAAAAATGACAAGGAGCTGACCATTCAGGTAGGAGCTAGAGCTGCATTATATATTGATTAAAACAATTAGTAAGTGTAATTCACTTTATGGACTTACTGTCCTCTTTACCCACACATCAAAACTGAGTTCAGAGGTTGGTCTCTGTTTTCAGCTGCCTGCACCCCTCTGAAGCTTACTAAATAGTTTGAGTTTTCAAGAGGATAGTTTGATGCTGCCTTTAGGAATAAAAGGGTTTTAGAAATAAATACATGTTGACCATTCTTAAGTATTTTGATAAACAAAGTAATTGGTGTCCTGAAGCCCTAATTGCCATCTAATAACTTCTAGTATACTTGACTACTTTGGATTTGGTGTGTAATTACAGTCAAATGCTGATGGGGCAGAAATCTTTCAGGAGAATACCTTGTGTTGCTTCTCCACTGTTTTCTGAAGAACTTAAAAATTTTTTTAATAGAGGCACTTGAGAGCTATTTCAGTGGTTAACTTGCTGTGTTGAGGATGTTTTTTTCCAGCTTTGCATGCTGTTTGTTTGTTTATTTGTTTGGTTTTTTTCCCCAGCAGAAGTTAAATCAGACCCAAACAGGAAGCACAAGTGAAAATCCTCCAGAATGGTTCACCAGCTACTTGGAAACAGTAAGTGCATTGTCTTGCAAGTATTGGTGTTCTTCAAGAAATGCATAAGAAGTTGTGGGTGGAAGAGATCCTTGTGCTGCCCAACTCTGGACATCTCAACACAGTTGTTGTCAGCCCAGCCTGATCCATGCCCCTTGGGAAAAGTGGATTGTTTGGTTGATGCATTTGATTTGCTTTAAGTGTGGTTTTAAGTTGCTCCCATGATAGAACCCAGACAGCCCTAGGAACTCCAGACCCCTCATGGTGGGATAGCATGGGACAGGAGTAGTGTTGCTGTTGTAAACTCTTGGTTGTGCAGTTTCAGCAGGGCAATAGTTATGGTTTCCTGTGATTGAAAGCAGAGCATTTGATGACCTCGCTTTTCTTGACTGTTCACTTTGAGAAAACACTTTCAGGAAGCCATTGACAATAACCTGCAGTTAAGATGTGGTTGTTAACTTGTTTTGAATAGCTAATAAACGTCACTGAGAAATAGTTTGATACCATCACTAAGAATTCGTTAGCTAAGAGGTCTTGAAACTAAAAGGTTCAATGTACAATAGTGTGTTCATTTATCTTTAAGGGGTTTTTTTTCTAGAGTTTTCTTTCTTCCTTTGCCACCTTTTTATCCAAACTAAAGATAGGAGAAGTTCATAGTTGTGTCTAAAACATCCCTGATAGACAAATCAGAATATAATGGTAGAGACTCCAGAAGGGTTTGGGAGTTGTGATAATTGTTTTGGAGATGAGTTTCCTTCCTTTCATGCAAGGTTATGGAATAAGAACCTTAGTATTGTAAGCACAAGGATGTGATTTTTAACTTGCCTTCATAAAAGCTCTTGGCTGGTATTTTCTAAAATAAAAATCCTCTGGAATGGGATACTTGTTAAATTTCCTGTAGAACGTGCTGGGTGCATGGGAAGTGGATTCTGAACTACTAACTTACGGGCTGTGAGACTCGGTAAACTGCAACCCAGCTTTTCAAGCTGCGTAGGTGGGTCTCACCCATGACTACCTCAATCTCTCCCTAGTTCAGGGAACAAGTGGTTAAGGAGACTGTTGAGAAGCTGGAGCAGAAGCTGTATGAGAAGCTTGCTCATTGCAATCAGCCTCCAGACTTTTCTGAGGGCTCGGCTGCAGCGGCACCTGCCCCTCCGGAGAGCCCGCTGGGGCGCGGCGGTCCCTGGGACTGGTTGATCTCCTGCTGCAACTGCCAGGCCCGGATCATCGGGGTGCGCTACCAGTGCAGGTAACAGTGCCGTGGGAGGGGGAAACCTGTCATGTGGGGTGTGTGGGTGAGCCTGAGGAGCTGGCTTGTGGTCACAGGCTTCTAGATCTCTAACCAGCAGCCTGCTGTACCTGTGAGACACATATCATTATGTATCTCACCAGCATCTGCTGTGGCGACTAGAGTCTGCATAAAAGCAGGATTAATGCTATTTTGAGCAAAGGTGATTGTTAAAGTGAGGGAACTTTATAACACCTGCTCTGTTGGCAATCAGTCTTTACCTTATTTGCACTTAAGATGCAGTAATTGTAAAGGAAATTGTTTTGCTCGCTTAACTCAACAGGAAAGCAAAACTTGGAACCACCAGCCCTGCAGCAGTGCTTTGTTTGGCTCTGAGAGTCAGTGAGACCAAGGCAGATCATGCTTTTTATAATGATCTGGCTTGTCAGTTAATAATATGAAATAGGTATTGATGAATGTTTTAAGTGAGGTTTTTATTCCAATGAGACAACTGCTGTAAAGGTAAGCATTTTGGGACTAGGCAGAAGCAGGGGATGAAATCGTAACAGAGTTTTTCTTTGGATGATTTTTTTTTCCTTGCTGACAGGAGATGAGAGCCTGTGTTTTATCAGTCCTGTTCCTGTAGGACCATCTGCTTTGCATCCCTGAGTACTTGTTGACATAGCGTCTGTGTTTTCATAAGTAGGGTGCTTCCACTGGATTTCAGTAAAATTGTAGCAACAGTTTTAGTCACTTGTGCTAAAGGCAGCATCGATTTTTTTCAATGTGTGCTCAAGAAGGAAGTGGGAACTGTGTTGCAGTTTTGCCCAGAAGGGAGAGAGAATCATCTAGGTTCTCCAGATGGCTCCAAATATCAATATATAAGTTGGACAACCAGGTTGCTGTCATTTGGGTGCTACCTGCAGCAGGTAGCATGACACAGAGTTGTTCCTCTGCAGAAATTCTTTGCCTCCTGGTAACATTCTGTCTCTCCTGCTCTGCAGCCTCTGTCCAGCCTACAATATCTGTGAGGAGTGTGAAGCAGGGACGTATGGACACGACCCAAACCACGTCCTGTTAAAGCTGCGCCGACCCGTCCTCTGCGCCGCTGAGAATTACGGCCCTGCAGAGCTCCCACCCCGCCTTCCTGCCACCCTGGAGCAAGTGAGGTAAAAAAAACCCACCCCCCACCTGCCAGTACCTGACAGGATTGTCCTGAGAGCGAGTGGGAACACCTGTGTTGAGGTTGATGTTCGGGTTTGATTTTAGAGATAACAAGAAACGGTGCTCAGATTTTATTGTGTGTAGCTCAAAATAGCTGCGTGCTTGGAAAAGGGTCGAAGTCACAAATCTTGCAGCGTTTTTAATGATAAAATGTAAAATACAGACTTTTGGGTCATAGATGGGTAGCAAACTTTGAAAGCCTGCTTTTTCTTGGTGCACTCTGTATTTGCCTTTGTTTGCTCTTTCACTGAGGCCGTTCAAACCAGTTCCACAAGCAACTGTGAGGATATTCTTTGGAAACCATTTGGTGTCCAGTCTAGAAGCCCAAGACAGTTCCTGAAGTGTTTCCTTGAGACTAAGACTGCTGACTAAAGCTAAATCCTGGCCAATTCGATGTACTATGAGTGTGTCTTGTTCTCTCTGCAGGCTCCAGAAGCAGATGGACAAAAGATTTCTGAAGGCAGAGAAGCAGAGATTACGAGCAGAAAAGAAACAGCGAAAAGCAGAGGTCCGAGAGCTCAAAAAGCAGCTAAAATTGCACAGGAAAATCCATCTGTGGAACTCTGTCAACGTATTGGAAACGAGCAGCTCACCTACTCTGAAATCTGAGAGTCTCCAACCTAACACCTTCCTGTAAGAGATGTTGTTAACTGAGCATCTGGTGGTTGTGCTGTCTGACCTTTTGTGATGAGACCAGGTTAAAGTGAAGGAAGGTTATGAAGTTGCTCATACAAAATATGATTTGTCATTGGATCCTGTGAGAGTTTTTGATCTGCAGGGTGGATTGTTTTTAATTGGGAGGAAGGAAAAGGAAAAAAGTGATGGTTATTAGCAGAAACTGATTGATTTATGTAGGTTTAGGGGGAAGGGGAGTGCCTAGGATTATATACACATGCATGCACATACAGGGGAAATGAACATTACTGCCAGTTTTTAAAAAGCCTCTATTTTCCTGCTTTATTAAGTGTGTCTTGCATAAAATTGAGTCCATTCTGTGTACTTATGATGTTCAGTGCTCTTTTTTCTTTGTGTGCTCTTAGGCTGAGGTTCATTAAACAGCAGCCATTGCAGGCAATCACTTTGCCTTTCCTATTCCCTTTGGGTTTATGGATGTACCGTGTAAAACTTGTATAGTTTTAGTTTCTTTTAATTCATCTATTTAGGGCATTTAAAAGTCAGATTAACATTAATTGGCAGCTTAACTTCTTCATTTTTGGTGTCTTTTTTGTTGTTTCCTCAATCTCAGGAGTCCTAATCAACCCTTCCAAGCAATTGTCCCAACGCTAAGTGCGGTATTTGTGGATGAGAATTTGCCTGATGGTACTCACTTGCAACCAGGAACAAAGTTTATCAAACACTGGCGAATGAAAAATACTGGCAATGTGGAATGGAGCTCAGACACAAAGGTATCTTGCCTTTGCTATTACTTCTACACACTGAAATAGTTTTGGAAGATAACATTTACATGTGAATTCTCTGTGGGGACCCATTTAGTATCTCCTTGGGCCTATTGATTCACAAACTGGGAAGCTTGTAAAGTTAGTTTTTGGCTTTTTCTGTTGTACATTTCAGCTGAAACTTATGTGGGGAAATCTGACCTTGGCATCTTCTGAGAAAAAAGATGTGTTAGTGCCATCCCTTCCGTCGGGACAAGTGGGAACTGTTTCAGTCGAGTTTGTCGCTCCTAATATAGAAGGAACTTACACTTCTCACTGGAGACTCTCACACAGAGGGGAACAGTTTGGGCCAAGGATCTGGTGCAGTATTGTTGTGGATCCCTCACCAGCTGCTGACTGTCTGGAAAGTGATTGGAAGGATTCTGACTCCTATCAGAAGAGTAACTGTTCCAGCACCAAACAGGCAAGTCACTCACCTGGTATTGAGGAAGTTCTATTTTTAATAGGAAAGAAATGCGAGATATATTGCATTTGTAAGTTCTAAAGTGGTCATTCTTTTTGACAGGCATGAGATTAGTTATTGGTGTGCTGCAGCTGTTTGTCTAGCTCTTTGAACTGAAACACTGCAGAATTTCTCTTTGTTAGAGAATTCCTTTTGGCCTCTAAAATGAGTTATTTTAAATCTCATTCAAGCCTAAGGGGCTTCTGTGACACTGGGGTGTTTTTTTTGGTTTTACAGGATGCTTCCTTAAAAACAGAAGCAGGTGTTCAACTGATGGGTGAAACAACAGAGCAGGCTGAAATATCTCTGCCTTTAAAGATCAAAAATCTGCCCAGCGAGAGAGAATTTTATATCCCATCTGTTGATCTCCTCACTGCACAGGTAAAGTGCTAAAATTCAGATATATAGCAAATCATCTCAGGGTTGATGTTTTGTAGACATCCCTAAGAATAAAGCTTCTGAGCTTTATTAATAAAGCTTCTGAGCTGTTATTTGTACCAGGTGGGATCTGTGCTGCCAGGTACAGGTACAATTCCTTTTTAGGGTTTGCTGATGAGAACTTGTGTTTCTTCACGTAGGATTTGCTGTCCTTTGAGCTGCTGGACATTAACATTGTGCAGGAATTGGAGCGAGTGCCACACAATACCCCTGTTGGTAAGGCTCTTGCGTGCTGTGTTGTGTCTTGAGCACAGACAGCTCTCCTTTGTGTTTTTCAGTATTGGCTTCTTTTCACCTTCATATCCTCAAGACCATAACATTGCAGATGTTGAAGAAGGTGCCACTTTCTTTGCACAACCAGTGGCAGTGTCATGCAAAATTAGTTGTTTATTTCACCGAATTATCTTGCAAAATAACTGAGTTTCTTCAGTCCCTTAAAAAGAGTAACTTCTTAAAATGTTAACCACCTGGAGGCTCCTGCTCCCTTAGTGCCAATTATCTTTGCTCCCTGTGTTTTTCAGACATGACTCCATGCATGTCCCCTTTGCCACATGACAGCCCCTTGCTGGAGAAACCTGGCTTAGGTCAGATAAAGGAGGAGAATGAGGGGAGTGGATTTAAACTAGTTCCTGGTAAGCAGTAGTGCTGGGGAGCTTGGGGGTGAAGGGAGGATATTGTCACTTCTGTGCAGTCAGCAGAGCTGATGTCTGAAAAGAATTTTAACTACTGTCGTTCCTTTCTTTGGAAAAACAAGTGATTGTTTGGCTCATAAACCTGTAGCCTGATGTATGATGAATGTAGAGGTTGGAGCATAATATGTGTAGATTCAGAAATACAGCTCATAGGATCAGAGAATGGTTTGGGTTGGAAGGGACCTTAAGGATCATCCAGTTCTAAACCCCCTCTGCCACAGGCAGGGACACTTTCCACTATCCCAGGTTGCTCCAGCCTGGCCTTGGACACTTCCAGGGATCCAGGGGCAGCCACAGCTTCTCTGGGCAACCTGTGCCAGGGCCTCCCCACCCTCACAGGGAAGAATTTCTGCCTAATATCTAATCTAAATGTACCCTCCTTCAGCTTAAAGCCATTTGCTGTTATTCTATTACTGCATGCCCTTGTAAAAGTCCTTTCAAATGGTTTTCTTAATTTGTCCGGCTGCTAGAATTATTGGTAGAGTTAACAATTTGCCCTCTATAGACTAGGCTATACCCAAAACACTCCAGATGCTTCTCAATCACTTTGACATTCAACTTGAACTGAATTCAAAAATCTTCCAATCTTTAGAAAGAATTAACGTGCAGAGTCAATATTAGCCGTGGTTAGGCTAAAAAAATTCTTCTTACAGTTACGTTGCCTTGTGGTGGTAGTAAAATCTCCTACATTTCCCTTCCCAAGGAGTGGCAGAAGATTGCCTTCCTGGGGACTCTTCCATGGGGAAGCTGAAAGCTGAGCATGCACTGAACCAGGAGGAAGGGGAGGAGGATATGAGTGGCACTCAGTTTGTCTGCGAAACTGTGATTCGATCTCTGACCCTGGATGCTGCACCCGACCACAAACCTCCACAAAAAAAGAATAATAAAATCCTTCAGAGTAAGTACTGGCAGCTGCCTCCTCTGGTTTGACTTGTTTGGAGTCAGACATGGGACACAGATTTGCGAAACTCAGGTGGTGTTGACATTAAATTGTTTTTCCTGATTGCTTTTATTAGGCTCTTTACAAACGTTGCAAGACAGCTTCACTTGCAATATGATAAATGAAGAATCTCCTGTGATAAATACTAATTCCACTTCCAAAAAGGAAGCAAAGATTCACCAGTCGGAGCTAATGGCAGAAAATTACTGTGGTAAGTAAAATAGATTTAAGATGAAGCTGTAATAAGGGCTAAAAAAAAAAAAAAAAAAAGGTGTAAAACCATCTGGCTGTTCTAGGAAATTGATCCTCATTACACAAAGAGAATCATTACATCAGAAAATTGGTGTCAGTGCTCTGGACAAGCACCTAATTGAACAGCTGCTTTTCTAAAAAGTGGGTTTGGAGACACAAAGCTTCCATATATAATAAGTGCTCATATGTTAGGCATGACTGGTGCCTCCATATTCTGTACAGATAGCTTGAAGTCAGTGCTTATAGCTGTTTCTGACCTGTTTCTAATGTATTTTATTTCGGAGCTGAAAACTAGAGGTTTAAGTTCCCTGTATATCTCTTATTCCTGTTTTTATTACAAGCATTAATATCAGCAGTGTATTTGTACAGTGTAAGTGTATCATTTGCTCTTTTTCACACTGCACCCTCCCCCCCAACAGACAAAGCAAATTATACCATTAACAGCATCAGCAAAGATTTACAGTTGTTTCTAAATGCTTGTCTCTTGGAGCAGGGACAGCGCTGTCTCTGTTGTCCACGTGAAATGGATAATGGTAATACCTCACTGGTTTTCCTTAGGGAAGGAAGGGGACCTTCCACTGTCTGCTGAGAACATGAGCCCTTGTAGTGGTGCCGACAATTGTGATGAGGAGGAAGATAAAGATGACGTTCAGAGTCAAGGCTCCTCTGCTTCATCAGAGGATTACATCATCATCCTCCCGGAGTGCTTCGACACGAGCCGCCCTTTGGGCGAGTCCATGTACAGTTCGGCTCTTTCCCAGCCCAGTTTGGAAAAGACGGGAGAACCTGAAACGGGAGCAGAGAGCCCTGAAGTGGGGAGCCAACCACAGCCCCCCAGGGTCAGTGGCATTCTGTCAGCTTCACAAACACTGCCTGCAGCACCACTGCCCCCAGAGACTGTGGACACCTCACCCCAGACACCAAGGTATGCTTTGGGCACGAGAATGAAATGAGGATGCTGATGGTGTTGTAGAGCCTGCAGGGTCTTGTGCTTTTAAGTTCAGTGTCCAAGCAGAAATTGTTGTAACAAAAGTCTTGTCGTACACTGGGGTAAATGTCCTTAAATTCTGGAACTTTTCACGGCACATTTAGTCGCTGACTTAAGTAGTGCAAGACAGAGAGAGAAGGGACCATGTGAAGTTTTTTTTTCCTTTGTCTGTTGACCTTGACTTACCTATGTGTGTACATGTAGAATAAAAACAGTAAATGTAATTTTTTTTTGCCTTATGCTTTCAGGAATCTTGCACCTCTTCAGGATCATACCTTCCAAGAACTAAACATATCAGCTTCAGAGAACATCTCTTCTGCTCCTCATAATCAAATACCAAGAGAAGGTATTGACAGTACTTAATGTCACCTGTTCCTTTTGCCTGGTATTGAATTTCATGTCTTGTTATGCTTGAAGAGGGGAGAAATCTCCTAAGCAATGATTGTAGTTTTTTCTCTGGGTGTCGAACTTTTGCTATATGAATGTTGCAAATAAAGAAAGAATTGGCTTTGTGGATCAGTTAAGACTGCAGTGAGAATCCTGTACACCTACTTTGTGTCTGCATAACTGAACTTAAGAGTATTACTTTTATACTGAGTCCCACTCCTTTCCCTTTATGTGCATGAGCTGCATCTCTCCAGCTTCTCATTAACTGAACCTGTTGACATTCTTGATTCCTTTTCCAGAACCCAGTGGTGAAGACAGTCATGGTGCAGGATCTTCTGAATTTCCCCCTAGTAAACAGAAGCTCTCAGAATTCCCAAGGTAATGAAGCTTTCATACAGGGATGTTCTCTTCTAGGTGAGAATACTTAACTCTTTACAAGAGGTCACTTTATGGAAAGCATAAACCCATAAAAGAATGAGCTTCCTGCATAGCTCAGTTCCCAAACAGCCCTGATTCCTGTGGATCAGAGGCTGTTCTCTCCAGCAGCTGACACATCAGCAGGCAGAGATTTGCATTTCACTGAACCAAACTGACCCTAAAGTGCCCCCTGGCCTCTCCACAGGTACCCTCAAGGCAGCAGCATCGCAGGAGAACTTGTCAAAGGAGCTTTGTCGGTTGCTGCTTCTGCCTACAAAGCGTTATTTGCTGGACCACCCATTGTTGAGCAGGTAGATGTCTTTCCTGTGTGCTATGATAGTCACAGAGTCACAACCTTAAATTTGTAGCGATGCATTATAAAGGTGTCAACATTCTATATAGGGCTTCGTGTAAGAGTAGTAACTCACCTTTGCAAGTGAGCATTGAAAGGGAATATAAATGGCTTAATTATGGCCCAAAGGGTCTCTGTGCCTCAATTCTCTTCCAGTATAATAAATTACCTTTTTTTTTTTAGCTGATCTAACTGTCTTCTGTTTTCAGCAACCTGCAGCTACAGAAGAGCAGACTGCCACTCTGCTGTCCAGTCTCTGTGAGATGGGATTCTGTGACGTGCAGCTCAACCTGCGGCTGCTGAAGAAACACAACAATAACATGATTCAAGTGGTAACTGAGTTACTCCAGATCAGCAACAGTGACTGGTACAGCAATAGATGCTGAACCTGCCTGGTGGAGGGAAGGAATCGTCTTCACTGAGTAAACTCTCATTAAACACTACAGCAGGAGCAGGCTGCTCCTCAGCTGCTTTCTGTTTGGAGGTGTGACTTAAAACTTTGGCTTTTCTTTGAGGTTTTGACTCTTTTTTTCTGTTTTTTTTTCCTCTCACGGAAATGTCACACAACCCTTGTCATGGCATCTCTTGAACTAGACATCAGAATTTCAATTGTAATTTGAACCTCATAGTTAAATGAATAGTCTTTAGGTCTCTAATTTCAGACCAGATCCTTCTATCAGGGAATCCTGTAGAACTAAATTGCACCCAGATGAGAGCTTCCCCTTTTACTGTTTGTAAAATCTTTTTGTTTTGTTTTTTTTTTTTTTAGGCAGCTGGACGTTTTTGTTGACTTTTGACTTAGCTATGGAATAGGAACAAATGTAAAATACTGTTGCAAAATGTAGTCCTGCCGAATTTACAAGAGATGCCCAAAACTAGCAAGTTGTTTCTTCTGATGATTTAGTAATTGGTTTTCCAATGCATGATAGTATTATAACAGACTTAAACCTGACAAATTATTCTAAGAAAAAGAAGTTACTCATAGACAAAAGTCATCTTGAATCTAGTCCAAAAGTGTAACTGCAGTTATACTGATGAATACCAGGGAGGTTGATGTTTGTTGTTCATTACCACCAGCAAGCTTGAACCAGCTCTACTTATGATAGTGCAAAACAGATCTCTAACAGGAAAGTATAACCTACATAAAATATTTTGTTAAAAATGGAGTGTAAGGGTAGGAAAGTCCTTTCTAAGAATCTTTATAAAAATATTAAAAATATGACCATTATCTTTTTTCACTATATTGCAAATGTCTTACTCTGTTAAAGCCACATAGAAAGTTTGAGAATGTGTAGAAATCCAGACCTGAATTGGAGTACAAATTCAGGTAATGTTTAGGAAGGGGAAGAGTGCTTGAGGCAGGCATTGGGTAACTTTTTACTTTAGAGTTTGAAAAATGCATTAACTTAAGCACTTTCAAGTGTACAGTCTCCTCTGATGGTTTGAGCTGCTTCTGTGTTTCCATAGCCACATTTGTAGGATCCAATTTTTTCGTAAGGATTTTGTTTTAGATGCCCATATTTAATCTGGAAATCGAAGAATTCCCTTAGAAACGTGCTGAGAGAGATTTGATTCTGAAGAATCACAAGAAATGAGCACCAGACACTGCTGTGCAGTGGGGTATCCATAGATAATTCCTCAGAGTTCAGTCCCTCTGTAGGTGACAGTGTTGGCTACATCCTTACTTTCAAGTAAACAGTTTTTTCCTTGCTGCAGTAGGAGACCATTGATCCTAAAATATTTTATATTGCCCTTGCTTCAAACTCGAGTGTTCTGTTTTGTCCCAGTGTAGCTGAAGTGGTGTCAGTATTGTGACTGGCCACCTTATCAGTAGGAATTTTTTAAAAGACTTAGTACCCATAGAGAAACCATTAAAATAGTTCAGGAAAGCAAATGTATCATACCACTTTTGTTTTAAACCTATTTTTATAGATCGTGGAAGATACACTCTTAAATGCTTATTTTGAAATACAGTAGAACTATTTTGCAGTGTTTCCCATCTCTGTACGCCAGTACAACTGTGTGCTGTGGACCAGTTAAAGATCCTTCTGTAACTTTCCCCACTTTTAACTTAGATGTGGTGTTTTGAGTATATTTTGACTTAATGCCAACTCTAGAACAAGGAGGAGGAGGAGGAGGAGGAAAGGACAGGGATGCAATGGAGAAACTGGTGACACTTTGAAGTGTAATGTGGTTATTTGCTTGGATCCGTCAGGCCCAGCAGGACCCACGTTCTCTCTGTGTGTACCTTCGTAATTGGAATGTTAATTAACGTGTTCTATGAATTAACAAAACTAAAACACCCGAGGAGGAACATTTCATTGCAGATTGAAATGGCAAGCGTGAGATGCTGTTCCCTTTAGGTTACTTTCTACTTAGGGTTTAGCCGCTGTACGCTCGGGCTCAAGATATATTTCTGTCAGCTTTGTATATTTTGTTAATGGATGCATGGTATAATTTATAATACATTCTATAGAGCAAACGTGGCCTCTACATCTTATTTCGGGTGAGCGCTTTCACGGGTGGCCGTGACTGGGGGAGGGCTTGGCTGGGGTTCCTCGGCGGGGTGGTTCGGCTCGGGGGGCAACCCCGAGGTGGGGAGCAGGAGCCGGGCCCGCGGTGAGACTTCTCAATAGCGCCCCGGCGCCCCGGGGGGGAGCTCCCACCAGCAAAGCCCTCCCGTGCGGGGCCGTGCGGGATGTCCCACGCGGGATGTCCCACCGCGCTGTCCTCGCCATGGCCACGCCCCCCTGACCATGGCCCCGCCCCCCCGGCTCGTTAGGACCGCCCCTTCCCGCGCGTCCCGGAAGCGGCGGGGCCGCCATGGCGGAGGTGGCGGCGGCCGAGGAGCTCGCCAAGCTCGAGTACCTCTCTCTGGTCTCCAAGGTCTGCACCGAGCTCGACAACCACCTGGGCATCAACGACAAGGACCTGGGTAGGTGCGGCGGGCGCGGCTTTTGGGCCCCGTCCGCCGGGCCGGTGTGGCCCTTTGGGCTGTTGTGGTCTCTTCCCGTCGGCCCCGGGCGCGTTTCGCGAAGGGGCTTTTCGGATTTGAGACGGTGAATTTCGCCTCAAGAAAAACCCGTGGGCCTGAGGAAGTGCTTCGGTCTGGGCTCCCGGGGAGGGGGGCTGAGGGACAGCTCCGGTGCTGTAGCAGAGCGGCCTTGGCTGGTCCCAGAGCAGCTTCTGGCCCCGTGCGCAGCCCTTTTACTTATTTGTGTTAATTCACTTAATGCTTTTTTTCCTCCCAGCCGAGTTTGTGATAAGCCTCGCCGAGAAAAATACTACGTTTGACACGTTTAAGGCAATTCTGCTAAAGAATGGTGCTGAGTTCACTGTAAGTGAGGCCTGACCCCTGTGTTTTCCTTGTCCCAGTATATGTTATAGAGATTTTTACTTTAAAGGGGGAGCTATGAGGTCTGATTATGGGTTTTCTTCTTCTGGAAAACTATGTACTAACTAGCTTGTGAGTATTCCTGTCTCATCAAACCCAGTCTCCCCATCCCTTCTTTTTTAAAAAAACTTATGTAACCTTTGAAAAGCATCTTGAATTGCTTATTGTCACATTGAGCATATAAAATATGGAAGAAACAACTTTTGATGAAGGCAGGTGTCATAAGTCTCCTATGATGCTTAGATGCTGTGTTTATCACTTCCTCAGAAGTAACTGCAGTTGAATTAAATAGGTGATTAAAAATGACAAGTAGGTTCCATTTATTATATCATTTTAAGGTGTACATGAAGTCCAGTGACACTTTCTAAAAAAGCAACCTGCATCTTCAGAAGTGAGGTGGTTTTTTTTTTCGTCCTGGTAATAAATCCTCACTTGTACCTTCTGATAATGAAAGAGAGCCTTGCAGTAATTCCTTAAGGTATTTTGTTCTTTTTTTCAGGATTCTCTCATCAGTAACTTGCTGCGTCTCATACAGACCATGCGGCCTCCACCAAAACCATCTACAAGCAAAGGTACGCAGAGCCAGTGGTTCAGTGTTTGGTGAGATTGATGCAGTCACTGTTCCAGTCTTGTGAGGCAAATCTTATTGTTTCAGTGTGCATCCTGCTGCTGTTATTCTGAGTATACTGCTTAAGAGGTTTTGTCTCTCTCATATTCACTCATAATCAGGATTTTATTTGTAGGAAGGTAACATGGTACTCCTTGAATTGAATCTCTGTGAAAACTGTATGAACCTTTGCATTTAGATGAAAATTAAACTTTAAGTTCAATTAAGGTCAAAAGTCAATTGTTCTCGCACTTCTAACTTTTGGGTTTCATTGCTTGTTGGTTTTTTTTTTTTTTGTTTTTTTTCCATTGCTGTTTTAAATCTCAAAAATCAGAGGCGATCGTCAAACCCAAATCAGAGAAAGAAAAGCTGAGGGAATTGTATCCAGCTCTTTGCAGGCCAGACAATCCCAACATCAGGGTAAGGTCATCATTTCAGATTTCTTTTGTCGCTATGCGAAAACTTAGAGGAGTTTTTATTTTGTTGGAGTTTTTTTTTCAGTTACTTCCAATCTTTTCTCGTGTTAATATGAGCGTCTCCTGCTAATGCATGGATAAAAGTGAACTGTGAGAAATGAAATGTGGTGTCACTGCACATTGTTACAAAGAACAGCTGTTACAGCAGTTGCCATGCTGATACTGTTTTGCAGAGTATCTGGAATACCAGACATGCAGTTTGTAACCTGGCATTTCTTACATGAATTCACAGTGGTGATGGGTTACGATCCAGTTAAAAATTTGGGATATTCAGGTGCTGTTGAGGGACAGGTGTTTTGTGTTTCTGTAACGACTTGAGGCGTTAAGATGGAGCTCTGTTTTGTGTAAAAGCAGAATTACCTCAATATCGTGGTGAAATGGAGGAGAGCTTTGTTACTTTTTTTTCTGTATCACACACTGTGTCTGATCTCTCTTTATCTTGCATGCCTTGTAAATAGATACACATACGATTATCCTTAATTCTCTGTGATGGGCTTTTTATCAGCCTTTTCACAGAGCAATTTTCTGTCCTCGCAGACTATGCTGGATGAAGATGATGTGAAAGTGGCTGCTGATGCCCTGAAAGAGCTCGAAGCTCTGATGCCCACTGCAGACAGGCAGGGCAAGCAAAGGGACAGCGACCGCCGGTAGGTGTCTGGTGGGGCTGGGGTAAAAGGGTCTTGCCTGCTGGTTTTTTTTTTTTTTCTGAGGGGGAATTTCACTGCAAAGGTGTTTGTTTTGTTAGGGTGAAGAAAAGGAAGAGGAGCCGAAGTCGTAGCAGGGACAGGAAGCGAAGGCACAGATCTCGCTCCAGGTCTCGTTCCAGAACGTGGGATAAGAAAGGGGGAAGATCCAGGTACCGGTCACGGAGCAGAAGTCGCAGTCCCAGCAGGGACCGGAAGGATCGAGACAAGTACATGGAGAAGAGCCACGAGAAATGGAGAGACAAGCACATCGACCGTCCCCCACCTGAGGAGCCTTCCATCGGAGACATTTACAATGGCAAAGTCACAAGCATAATGCAGTTTGGATGCTTCGTGCAGCTGGAAGGACTAAGGTACCTTCTGATGGTCGTGATAGAGCTGGTGTTACTCTGAGTTCTCTTTTCTGCTGGTAAATTGAAAAGGGCGTGAGGCTACCAGAAGGTATTCTAGACTTCCAGAAAATTAAATTTGACAGTGGAAAGTTACAAAATTCTCATTAGGAAAGACAGTTTGTGAACACACAACACTCAGTTGACGGCAAAATATTGACAGCAAGCCTAGATTCTGAGTGATCTGAAGGACTGTCAGAGTAATAACGTACAATGTCTCAAGTCTTCCTGTTTCACCCCCAGGAAGCGTTGGGAGGGCTTGGTCCACATCTCAGAGCTGCGAAGAGAAGGACGGGTTGCCAACGTTGCTGATGTCGTGAGCAAAGGACAGAGAGTGAAAGTCAAGGTGTTATCCTTTACTGGATCCAAAACCAGCCTGAGCATGAAGGTATGGACATGCCAAAACTTTTAAGATTATGCATGGTTTTGCTATTTTTTTTTTTTTTACTCTTCTTGCTGGAAACTAATAAATAACCATTCAAGTGGGAATTAAAAACCAAGATGCTGTTCTGTATTGAAGTGGCCTTTTAGTTTACTCTAGGTTCCTGTTTTTGATATAATGTTCCTAACAATTTTTTTGGCTTGACGTGATAGCTGAGAGGCAGGGCAAAGCTCAAGCTGTTGCTGTTTGCCTTCTTTTTTTGGTAGGAGAGAAGCATTTCATTTCAAATTAAATCCCTACCGTTGCCAAGGCAGAGTGGAGTGTTCCAGGCCTGGGCTGAAAAAAAATTAAAAGCCTGCAAAACTTTCCTGTGAATGAGGTGTTATTGGCATTATGAAGCACCTCGTAACAGCTAAGGAGAAGTGAAATATAGGTAGAACTGACTGATTAATCAATCTAACGTAGGATGTCGACCAAGACACTGGGGAGGACTTGAATCCCAACCGGAGAAGAAACCTGGTTGGAGAGACCAACGAGGAGACCTCCATGAGGAACCCAGACAGACCCAGCCACCTGTCCCTGGTGAACGCCCCGGAGGTGGAGGACGACAGCCTGGAGCGGAAACGCCTCACCCGCATCTCAGACCCCGAGAAGTGGGAAATCAAACAGGTGGGTGTTGCGTTCGGGGAAAGAGGATGGGATCTTTATTCACTGACACTTAGGCTGTGTTGTGTTGTCAGAGTGCAGGACCTTTCCTTTGTTCCTGTTTTAGAGGGATAGCGTTAGAACTGAGTTGTATTCGTTCTGTTCCCAGATGATTGCAGCGAATGTGCTTTCCAAGGAAGAGTTTCCTGATTTTGATGAGGAGACCGGGATTCTTCCTAAAGTTGATGACGAAGAAGGTAATTTCCCAGTAGTCTTTTTGTTGTAAATTCATTGTGTTTCTGGATGTGTTTTGATTGAAAAAGCGATTAATGATATGAATGACTGTGAAGCATCTCACGATTTGCCATCATCTTTCACATTGGGAACTAGAGTTGCTCTGGCTGTGTTATTAGTGGCATTTTGTTGTGCCCTGTCTGTGAACTTCTATTGCAGACTTTTTTCATTTTTAAAACTCCTAAGTTTTACACAAGCAAGCATTGTTTAAAGAGGCACTTTTATGCACCAGAAAGTTGTTTAACTTTTCTGTAACAATTGTCACTTGTGGATTTTAGATGAGGACCTTGAGATTGAGTTAGTTGAAGAAGAGCCACCGTTCCTTCGAGGTCACACTAAACAGAGCATGGATATGAGTCCCATTAAAATAGTAAAGGTAAGAGATTTCCAGGCTAGAACCAATGTACTTGATTTAATGAAATAAATATTTGGGAATTTAACAATCAGTTTCCCCACCTGCAAGTTACTGAGAGCCTTGAAAAACATTATCACTGAACTGAAGCTGAAGGACAGTGATGACAGAGAGATAATTGAAGTTGAAGCAATTGTAATACTTGAAATCTCAACTTTTTTTTCTTACTTTCCAGAATCCAGATGGCTCCTTATCCCAGGCTGCAATGATGCAGAGTGCTTTGGCTAAAGAGAGGCGAGAACTTAAGCAAGCCCAGAGGGAAGCAGAGATGGATTCCATCCCCATGGGCCTCAACACGCACTGGGTGGATCCTCTCCCTGATGGTACATCTGAGCACAGGGGAGCTGTGCCTTCTTTGTGATAGCTGGGCAAGTCAGGAGAAATGTCTTGATACTTGATGTAACGGTGAAATTGTCTATTTCTGTTCTAGTGGATGGAAGACAAATAGCTGCAAACATGCGAGGTATTGGGATGATGCCAAATGATATCCCAGAGTGGAAGAAACATGCATTTGGTGGCAACAAAGCTTCTTATGGTAAGAAGACTCAGCTTTCCATCATTGAACAGAGGGAGAGTCTCCCAATCTTCAGACTGAAGGAGCAGCTGATACAAGTAAGACCCTTCAGAAGGCATTTCGGTTTGAGCAAGCAGTAACTTAAATATTCTCGGTTTAGCTTGTTGACAGGTGAATAGCCAGCTGATAATTTTAAGTGCAGAACCTTAGTTCACAGTATTCATTTTAAAGTATTATCTCTGTGTATTTTAATAAAGCTCCAGATATTTATTGGTGTAAGTCAGAATTGATACTAGGACTGTATGGGCAAGGGATGAGTCAGCTGAGTGATGGTTAAGCAGATTGCAAGAATACTTGTATGATTTTTGGTCTGGGTCAACTGAAGCAAGAGCTCAATCTAGTCCTAAATAGACAGTGCTGATTTTGTTTGGTCTCTTGGTTTTTAAAAATTTTGACAAGTGCTAATCTATTCTGACCTTTTCTAGGCTGTGCACGACAACCAGATTCTGATTGTTATTGGAGAGACAGGATCTGGGAAAACAACACAGATTACCCAGTACCTGGCTGAGGCAGGGTATACCTCAAGAGGGAAGATTGGATGCACTCAGCCTCGCAGAGTGGCTGCAATGTCTGTTGCCAAGAGGGTGTCAGAGGAATTTGGTTGCTGCCTGGGACAAGAGGTAAATTTCCATGTCGGAGAACAGGCCAAAATAAGCATGAGGAAAAGAGGAAAAATCAGTACTGGAGCTATTTTAGTTGTGTGTCCATGTGTCTGTTCGCTTGCAGGCTGTAAAATGAATTTGTGGAATAACCAAGCTGGGAGTTTATAATGCTAATGGCTTCATTTTGTATCTTCGCTTTCTGTGCAACTCTTCTGTCTAGGTTGGCTACACCATTCGGTTTGAAGATTGCACCAGCCCTGAGACTGTCATCAAATACATGACAGATGGAATGTTACTGAGGGAGTGCTTGATAGATCCGGATCTGACCCAGTATGCCATTATCATGTTGGATGAAGCCCATGAAAGGACCATCCATACAGATGTGCTCTTTGGACTCCTGAAGAAGGTGATGTGGCATTGGATTTTTACTGTTTCAGTGTTCTCTCTCTGGTATGTGTGGGTAGGAGAGCACAGGCAAAGGTTTGTGGTCTGAATCTTTGTAAGATGAGCCCCTGAGTGAAGATGAAGCAATCAGAATGCAGCAGGAACAATGAGAATTGGCCATCCCGGATGTTTGTAATGGTGGATGAGCAGAGGAGAGTCCTTGCTTTGCTTGTCCTTTGCTGCCAAAGGCTTTCTGGTGGTAATGCTGCTAAAAGAGGTTTGAAATGGGATCTCAGGGGTCAGTTTTCTGAAATTCTGGATACTGGAATGAGCCACCCCTCTGCTCAGACATTAAAACACCTGATATTGCAGGTTGTATTTCTCTGACTTCAGTCAAGTCCCATATGCTAATTGTTCCAAAGGCAATAAATGACTTGAGAACCTTTTGTCCCACTACAGACAGTGCAGAAGAGACAGGATATGAAGTTGATAGTGACGTCAGCAACACTGGATGCTGTGAAATTCTCCCAGTATTTCTATGAAGCCCCAATCTTCACAATTCCTGGCAGAACATATCCAGTAGAAATTCTGTACACAAAAGAGCCAGAGACAGATTATTTGGATGCCAGTCTGATTACAGTAATGCAGATCCACTTAACAGAGCCACCAGGTGAGTGGAGAATGGTCTTGGGTTATTGGTGATTCAAGGATCTGTGAGCAAGGTCTTTCTACAAGTCATGGATTGTGTTAGTAACATGAACAAAATGCTGTCAGCACTATCCTCTCTTCTTTGCAAATACAGTAACTAAAGTGTTGAAAAAGTTGGGTGGCTGAAGTTATGTTGCCCCTGGTTAGGAGTTGTTGCCCAGAGGCTGGCAAAAGTTGGAGATCCTCTGCTTTAAGTGGAAAGGGTGAGGAGTGGAAATATGTTAATACTAAACAGATTTGATTCTGTGGGTGTTTTTAATTTATTTCCTGTGTAGGTGACATCTTGGTGTTTCTGACTGGTCAGGAAGAGATTGACACTGCCTGTGAAATCCTCTATGAAAGGATGAAATCTCTAGGACCTGATGTTCCAGAGTTAATTATCCTCCCAGTATATTCAGCTTTACCCAGTGAAATGCAAACCAGGATCTTTGACCCCGCCCCACCAGGAAGCAGAAAGGTAATTTCATGTACATGTGCCTTCATCTTCTGCTGATGCATTTCAATAGTGGGGTGCATTACACTGCTTAAATTATATAGCCTTGGAGAAAAGATAACTTACAGCTTAGAGCATATTTTTGGTTGTCTACATATTATCTAAGCCTTTGAAAATGTGTATAGAAGCATCTGGTGTAGCAAAGCTCTGAGGGATGAAGCTGAGCAGTGTGGTTGGCTTGGCAACCTGCCACAAAACTTGTGCTGACTGAAACTGTGGTTTACAGGTTGTCATTGCCACCAACATTGCGGAGACGTCCTTGACCATTGATGGAATATATTACGTCGTCGATCCTGGCTTTGTGAAGCAGAAAGTTTACAACTCCAAGACTGGAATTGACCAGCTAGTGGTGACACCCATTTCACAGGTAGACATTCTGTGCTTGGCTCTCTCTCTGGGTGTTGTGTATCCTGCCAATGGGACATCCAAGAACAGGGGAGCAAAGTGAGGCGAGGATAAAATCACATTTTTTGATAATTTCCTGAGGCTCCTTGAGGCTGTGCCCAAGGAATACATACTTTCCTGTGTTGCGCTGGAAATCTTTCCATTACTACAAGTAAAACTGGATGATTAATCATTTCATTGTACTTCTTTTCACTTGTGCCAATGCCTTGTTAACCTTTAGGCTCAAGCAAAGCAGCGAGCAGGGAGGGCTGGGAGAACGGGCCCAGGAAAATGCTACAGGTTATACACGGAGCGTGCATATCGAGATGAAATGCTAACCACCAACGTGCCTGAAATCCAGAGAACAAATTTGGCCAGTACAGTACTTTCCCTGAAGGTATGTGAGGCCAGGGTTGGTTAAAAGTTCCGTAGTGCCTCAGTGTTTGATGGCATCTCTGCCAGGAGTTTGGTGTCTTCCTTCTCCGTGTTTTACCTTGGGCTGTCTCCCCTCCCTCTGTTCAGGCCATGGGCATCAACGATTTGCTGTCCTTTGACTTCATGGATGCTCCCCCCATGGAAACTCTCATAACTGCCATGGAGCAGCTCTACACCCTGGGAGCTCTGGATGACGAGGGGCTGCTCACTCGACTTGGGCGCAGGGTAGGCCAAATAAAATACCTTTTAGTACTGTCTGTGCTGCCAGTATTTAGGAGATGACAGAGTGGTTGTATCAGGCCTTGCCTAGCACTGTTATTTTCCTTTTCCTGTTATTCTCTTGCGTTTTGTTGGTAGCTCTTCATTTACCACAGTTACATACCTTCTGCTTTTTAAGGAGCAACTATTATTACTCCTCATTCATGAGGTTACTTTTATTAATGTCTAAAAATTTCCTGTAAGTATTGGGATATTCTTGTGATAGTAAATACAGGCAAATAATTTGCTTCATGCTTCAGGGTTATTCCAGGTCAAGCACACTGCTTTGGAAAGAAAGTGTGCAAGAAAAGGCATTGCTTTCTTTTGCACTGAGAAGACTCAAGACTTTGAGTCTTGAAACATGAAAACGTGTTTCTTGCAGATGGCAGAATTCCCCTTGGAGCCCATGCTGTGTAAGATGTTGATCATGTCCGTCCACCTGGGATGCAGCGAGGAAATGCTGACCATCGTCTCCATGCTGTCTGTGCAGAACGTGTTTTACAGGCCAAAGGTGAGGCACTCTGCCAAGAGGCAGCAGTGGTGCAGTCTGAGTGGGTTTGGAGTGAGCAGAATTGCCAAAAGAAACCTGTAACTTGGTCAGACCATTTGCTCATGCGTTACCTCCCCGATATGCCTTTTGGTTTAAGGGCCTCTAGGCTGTGATGTTGGTAGTTTCTTTGCAGATGGGAAGGTAGAAGTGAGAAGTCTTAACATCGTCTTTTGCATTTTCCAATAAACACATACAGCCTAAACCAAGTCAGTCCCAGCTCTGGAGTTCAGATAAATGAGCCATTTCCTTTGACATGTTCTTTCAGAAATAGGTACTGACATTGAATAAAATGTTTAAATTAAAAAAACAAAAATGTTCATCTTTTGTGGTCAGGTCCTTGTCACCCACGGGAGAGCCTGCACGAGGTCTCTCTTTGACAAGGACAGTTCTAGGCTTTCCTTTCATAAAGGCATGGTTTTGCCTTAGACCAGTCCCAGTGACCTTTAGATTTTCATCACCTGACCCCTCAACATTTTGTGTCATCTGTTGGTAGATTTCGATGTCATGGTATGAGTGACAAGGGCCCCATGTCATTCGTGTTGCACCAGGATTGTCTCTACAGTGCAGATACCTGATCCACGTGTGTTTTATGTGTTAGGACAAACAAGCACTCGCTGATCAAAAGAAAGCCAAGTTCCATCAGACAGAAGGTGACCACCTCACCCTGCTGGCCGTGTACAATTCGTGGAAGAATAATAAGTTTTCAAACCCCTGGTGCTACGAAAACTTCATCCAGGCCCGATCCTTACGCAGGGCGCAGGACATTCGCAAGCAGATGCTGGGCATTATGGACAGGTGAGCGTGTCAAGGAGGACACCTGATGTTGGCAGCTGCTCCCAGACCTGGAGAGCTCTGACTTTCATCTCTCTGGCTCTTGCCTGGCAGGCACAAGCTGGATGTGGTATCCTGTGGGAAGGCAACGGTTCGGGTCCAGAAGGCCATCTGTAGCGGCTTCTTCCGGAACGCAGCAAAGAAGGATCCCCAGGAAGGTTATCGGACACTCATTGACCAGCAGGTCGTCTACATCCACCCGTCCAGTGCTCTCTTCAACAGGCAGCCAGAATGGTAAGGAAGGCAATAGCGTGGAGTTTCCTATTTCTTTTCAGACTCTATAACAGAGGAAGTGTGCAGTGGGCACTGTTTGTGGGGTACAGATCTGAGCAGAGGTTGCTGATTTCTCAGCAGTGAGCAGACTGAGAAAAGTTTTAAGTCTTTGGCTCTTTCTGCTGCTAAACTTAGTGCCTCTGCAGAGATGAGACTGACTTTGGGAGCCAAGGCCAGGCCTGAAATCTGCAGTTCCATGTTTCTGTGTTGTGAAATTGAGTTTAGAACACTGTGAATGTTGAAGAGGGGAAAAGGGGTTTGTTTTAAATGGAATGAAGGAATTCTCTGCTGAAGAGTAGTAGTTGTGAAATAGGGATATCTCTTGTGGGTGGTCCTTTTGGAGCTTATAAGGAGCCTTATGCAGAAGGAGATAAAGGAGCAAGCTCAGAGCTCCAGCTGCTGAGTTGTTGCTTCTTGTTTGGAAAAACTTGATTCCCAGAGTCTCCGTCCCTCCCCACAGGGTGGTGTATCACGAGCTGGTGCTGACCACCAAGGAGTACATGCGGGAGGTGACGACTATCGATCCTCGCTGGCTGGTGGAATTTGCCCCAGCTTTCTTCAAGGTTTCTGACCCCACCAAGCTGAGCAAGCAGAAGAAGCAGCAGCGCCTGGAGCCGTTGTACAACCGCTACGAGGAGCCCAACGCCTGGAGGATATCCCGCGCCTTCAGGCGCCGATGAGTTCCCTCCTGGACTCTGGCTGGTTGTTTTTTGTGGGACTTGTGACTCTGTCATCATTGCCAGCGTCCTGGCAGGAGGACAGGACGTTCCCCTGAAGCTCACCTGTGCCACGAACAGGTAATGAGCCCTGGCAGAGCAGGGAGTGCCCCAGCTGTGGCACACATTGTGCTGCAGCTCCACAGGACGTGTCAGGCCTCTCAGAAGGGGGTCTTGGAGCACTTCACTGGTTATTTGCCACTTTACAGACAAAACCTAAGACTTGGAAGTCTGGGCACTCAGCTGAACAACAGCAAAAAGATAGTGATTAAAAAACTGGCTGTTCACCAACCCGTTTTCTGAGTCACCAGACACCTAGAGGCTGGAATAGTTTGTTTCTTTACTCTGCTAAAAAGAGATTTATTTCTATTTACACTCTTGGACAGTGGCTGCTTTTTGGGAGCTACTTGTTTTCCATTTTTTCCTATTATATGCATTTTCATTGTAACTATTTTTCTTTTAATCAGCCTGTCGGACACTTAGGATCTGTGGCTTTGGGATAAGGCAGGAAAAACCTCTAGAAACGCAGCTAGAACGTCAGTTATGTTTGGACAATGGCATAATTTGGATTGCAAGGCTTATCCTTCATCCCTATCTCCTGGGTGCTGAAGGCTGGTATGTCAGGGAGTAATTAGCACAATCACCTCTGCAGCATGGCTCTGTCTGAGAAGTGGTTACAGATGTTTAGAACTTCCTATACCATGTGCCATGTGTTTTATCTTAACTTAGAATGTTGACATCACAACTGTCGGTTTTTTCAATAGAATGTGCTCTTACAGGTAAAATGTCTGTAAGGAGTTGCATAAGTTTCCTGTTTAAAAAGAATTTGACTGCCCAGCGTGTGCTAAGTCATGCCAAAACTACCTGTAAATTATTTTTGCTTTGCTAACAGATGAAACTTATTTGACTCCATAGCTCCAGAAACTCTTTAATTTTTTTCCCAAAGCTGGGACATTTGCTAAAATTATCGCTGAATCGAGGAGTATGAGGTTGGCTGGTTGTTTTTTACAAAGTAAGTTGGAAGAATGTTTCACATTGAAAAGTAGCTATATTGGAAATCTCTGTCTGTACAAAGGGATGTTGTTAAATGTCCTGAGCTTTCCTCTGATGCTACATCTTCATAAAGTTAAAAAAAAAATCACAAATTGTCAGAGTCAAAGCACAAGTTCTTCCTCAGTCTCTGGCTAATGGAAACCTCCATGGGATTATTTTATATAGGGTTGTGTGGGAGCTGCTGATCTTCCTTCTGGAAGCTCCTGGCCATTTCCAGGACCATCAGGAGAAAATTATGACTTCTCTCTCTTACCTCCACCGTCTTTCCCCTGTCAGCTGCCTCTCAGTCTAGCTAAACACATGTGAGCACATGCTCATTTCCCCTGGAACTTGAACTCCCATCAAGATTCAGAAGTAAACATGCACCCCTGAGCCCTCTGCATCAGCTACCCACAGCTGCAAGCTGGTGCCAAGCCAAGGAGCTGTGCAAAAGCGAGCTCAGGAGGGAAGGGAGGACCAGTCAGGGGCTCAATGAAGTTGCACCGGCCAAAAGATGTAGAGCAATTTATTAATTATAGTATTTTTACACTCATAAATAGTAAAGGCAGCTTATAGCCAAGGGTTCCTCTTCGCCCTCGCTTCTGGGATGCTGGGTGGGCGCAGGGCAGGGCAGGAGGGGCAGGAGCTGCCAGAACACCAAGTCTCTGGAGTGCACAGAACACAGGACAGGCTGCTCTGAGCATCTGGCCCCTCCTCAGGCAGGGAGTGCTGCCTTTCATGGCTCTCTTGCTCGGGGACAAGGCTGGGAGGGTTGGCATTAGCCATGCAGGGGAGAGTCATCGGGGGAGATCAGGCTTTCAGTCAATATGCAGAATTTTCTCCACAGGCTACCATGCTGGTGGGATTTGCAATGCTGAAAAATCATCATGAAGCTGTAGGAAACAAGCTTTTTCTGTGTGGGCACACTGCACTGCTCCTTGTCTAACTAGGAACGTGGTTGGAGCTGCTAATTAAGGACATCTCTTACTAAGGATGTGGTACTCATTATAAATGTTCACTGTTGTGGAAGACCTGTCAGTAACTGCAGAGGGAGCTGCCTTTTCAACATACCAGGATTTCCCTCAAAACATGCAAAGGTTTGTGGAGTTTAAGACTGAATTCCAATATTAAGATCTATGTATGGTTTAGGTTACTTTGGACAGCATTTTTATCACACCTCCACCAGGTTCTTTTCTTGCCTCAGGTGATTTTTCTGACCAAGCCCAGGATGGGCACACTCAAGAGCCTGACAGGTCTTGAAAGATCCTGAGGATGTTTGTTGAAGAAGTTGTTCGGTTTGGAAAACTGGACATGGTTCTGACCTGTGTCAGACCAATGCAATCAGGCACCTCTCTAGTTCCCCTAAATGGTGATGTGTCACGTTCTCTAACCCTGGTCAGTGCTTCCAGCGACCCTGCTCGGAGTGCCTGAATACCAGAGAGCCCTAGAAAGAGCAAGGAGGTGATCAGGCAGGAGCAGGCACATTCACAACACGATCTGTGACCGTCATCCTGCAGCCATCCTGGGAAGGCAAGACTGGCCTTCCAGGGGTGAGTCCCCTGTGGTCAGAGCTGAGGGTTACACAGAGGTTCAGCACATGTACTGGAGGAATAGAGTCAGCAGCAGCCTTGTAGCATTCTCAAACCTGAAAAAAAAGCCCAGTGGGACAGCAATCCCTCCCTCTCCAACGAGAGGGACTGCACCAGGCATGTTTGATCCAGCTGGAGGCACCGGTGCTGCTGCAGCTGTAGCTCCACTGCTTGGAAGATGTGACTGCATGGCTAAGGATAAGTCCCATCCTGACACATAGGAGGGGTGTCTAATCACAGGCACACAAGAGCCCTGTGTGCTGAGAGGTGATAATCCACGTGTGTACCTGAACATCGGTATTTGTAGCTTAGTGCTGGCCTGAAAAAATGCTGATATCACCTGAACGCTTCACCAGCTACCTCCTATACACAGCCACGTCTAGAACCTGTATACCCAGCACCGTGCTGTCACCAGTGCTAGTAGGTGTAGCCCTTGCTGTAAAGCTGTGGAGGGAAACTCCCAAAGTCTGGCAGGTAAGTGGCATTTTCATCCAGGTGCGAGAGGGGCACCGTGTCCTCCTCGCTGATCTGCCGCTCCAGCTCTGCCCTCAGCGCCGGCCGCTGGCTGTCGGGGAAGGCCAGCGAGAACAAGGCCTCGGGCTCACACACAAACTTGTACACGTAGCGCTCCCCAGCCACCTGCAGGGGAGAGAGGAGGGTGAGGTGAATGCTGCAGGCTCACAGGTAGCACCGGGCAACGCTCCTCGATGCCCCAGAAAGGCTCGCAAAAACATCCGAGTTGTAAATGTAATCTCCTCCTGCTTGTCTCCCTCCTGCTCTGATCTCCCCTGGGAGATGGGATGCTGCCAGCTGACTCTTTGCCCAGGTAACAACAGCATCAGCAGTCCCTGAGCAGCCTGTACTGTGATAGTTGCACTCCCACTTATCTCTTGAGTGCCCTGGATCTGGCACAGACCATCCCTACTACGTAGGACAAAGCCTTGGGCAGCCTTTCTCTCACAGAAGCAAGTCTAGACTGATTATATCTCCTTTCAGCTGCATAATTTCCAACTTTCCTGACTGCAGACATACACAGAAAAAGAAATCACGATTCCCCTTTGTTTTATTTCTCATACACTGCCTGCATTCAGCTCCTTCCCAGCTTCCCTGTTTAACGGCAGCGAAGAGAGATTGTGGGGAGAGAAAGCTTGGGGTGCCTGGCTCGCTCAAGGACATTCTGTACCTGTGTCAGACAAGAGGAGCATCACCTAAAGCCACAGTCCCCTCCTGCTTTGCAAACTGACCTTCTGCATGATGCCTTTTTCGTAATAGTAGCGAAGGGATCGGCTCAGCTTGTCGTAGTTCATGGCTGGACGGTTCTTTTGGATCCCCCACAGCCTGGCCACCTGCAGAACAAAGTGTCAAAGTGTGTGAAAACGTCTGTGAACACAACCCAGGAGCAAAAGAACATTCCCCAGCTGGTTCTCTTTTAAGAAATGATAACACACATAAAAGCATTTAAATAATGGACTCGTCAATAATTTAGCAGCTTTACAACAAGAAGAGTAGAACTCAAGCTCAAGCACTCTGGATCACAGAGAACCCACCAAAATAATTCATCTGCACTGAAAGTGCCCATAAAAGTTGATCTATAGCAAGAACAGTGCTCAGTGCAGCTCTAATTGAAACAAGATGTGAAGAGATACTACAGACACATCTCCTGGATACTGTCAGGCTGCACTGTGGTTTTTGGAACATGGCAGCATTAGAAATTATGCCTTGGCAATGTCATTTTGATATGGATTAGGCTTCCAGATTCTTATGAGGACTTCTGCAATCAGCAGGGTTCCAAACTCCAAACCTCGATGTGAACCTCGAGTGTAGAGCAAGGTAAGACAGCACAGGTCACTGCAAGCTTGAGATTCGAGTATCTAGGGAGGTGAAGGCAGTGGGCAATTTGACTCACTGCATAGCTGAGAGTCTAAACTTACACACAAGCAGCCTTCCTTAAACCTGATATTTGTCACCCAAGTGTTTTTGACCTCTTCTAAAAAGCTTGACTTGCTGCAGGGTCTACAGAGTGCCACAGGTAAGCAGAAACTTCACAGGAAAGAGGAAAAGCCACCTGGGAATTTGCAGCCCCAGAAACAGTGGCTGCTTCCCCTCAGCCTGTCACAAGCTCCATGGTTTCACCTCTTCTGGCTCAATCAGTTTGAACTCCATCCCTCTGCCAGTCCAGGCAATGAAGTGGGAATTGGTCGGGTCATCCAGCAGAGCCACAAGGAATTGCCAGAGCTGGAGAGATCCCCGCCTTTGGTATGGAGGTCCTTCCCTGTACCCTCCAGCCTCCTGCTTGATGTCTCCTGCTGAGAACAAACAAGACGTTTCTAAGGACAGCAGTGCAAAAACCATTGGGGAAAATTAAAAAAAAAAAAAAAAAGAAAAAAAAAGGGCACGTTTAATGTTTACCTGGAATGTTTCAGTTCACGTGAAACAGAGTGGCCAATTCACAAGCAAAAGTAGCTCTGATGAATCTCACAATTAAGCTACTCATGCTAGAAGGCCTGTTTGCTGCTAAGAAAGCCCAGGAAATGGAATACTGAAAAGCTCAATATAAACCACAACTAACACACAAGAACACAGTGTAATGAACTATGTGGGCACTGCTCAAGTGGCAAGCAAAGATGCTGGGTAACCCTATCTTACACCCAACTTTCTCCAACCTTCAAATTTCTCTGGAACAACGCAGACATCGTCAGTAAAGGACTTCATCTGCTTGTTGTAGCTGCAACCTGAAAGAGAAAGCAAAACCAGCGGTCACAGCCAGCCAGGATAGTACCAGAAGACAGTTCCATGCAGGGAAAAGATGATGGTCACTGCTTTTCTTACCCAGTGTGTCCTCTGTGTTTGAATGGCTTGGATAGCTCTCAGCGTTTAGGTACATGGAAGCACAGTCAGGAACATCTACAGAACAATTAAAAAAACTCATTTATTTAAAAAACACAGGTGGAAGAAAGCTCTTGCTCTCCAGAGGTGGGCAGGTGAGTGCAGCTGTCTAACCAACATCCTCTTAGGGCCCCTCCTAAAGGGTTAAGGTCAGAAAGATAACTACAACTGCATCTTGTGTTTCCCTCACACTCCTGTGTGCAGCCATGGCTTTCAGCAGATATTTTGCTGATGCCAAGGGAAGAGTACTCCAAGCTGACAGAGTGGGTCTTATTACAATCATAAACTACTCTCACAAAAAAAACCCTCACTCTTCTGGGTTTGCATTTTCTTCCCCTGTCTGCACAGAATTACCCAGTGAAAGTGTAATATCAGCCTCACCACAGTGGTGGTTTTTGTACCCTCACAGGAGCTTTTTATTTATGTATTTATTTCTGCTAAAGGAAACAATTTAAGATGTCCATTAAAATACCAGGAAACCAGAAGGGATCCAAGACAGTTTTTCTGTCCAAGGTCCAACGTATTTGATTCCTTCCTTTCTGCTGCCATTTACAGAATGCTTTCAGTATGATTTCCTCAAAGCTGACCTCACTTCTTTTCTGCAACCTACCAGCTCACATCACACATCCCCCTGAAGACAAACACTACCTATGAAACTGTAAACACCCTTTTCTCCACTTCTGATGGTGTGAGTGGGTTAATCTTTAAGCTAGTTTGAATGGATTTAACATCACCTTCTACCTCCTGTCTTACTAAAGCTTTCAACTATCCACCAGAAGGTCTTTCTCAGAACATGGCATGGAAAGTTCATGTCCCACCTTTACCTTGGATGCAGTGAACAGATGGAACTGTTCACCCAGGAGCTGCTCACTCCCACTGATGCCTGATTTATGCAGTCAGAAAGAGCTCGTTCTGCCCACCTGAGTCATACATGTAGTCCACCTGCTCCTGCTTGACCACCACAGCTGCTGGGTACTGGTGGCTGCTGCCTGCCTGGCTTTCCTGCTCGTATCGTGGGTCGTGGCGCTCCTGTTTGAAGCCCTGAGGAGGGTACTGGAGGCAGGGCTTGGACATCTGGCACTGGTAGGCAATGGGGTCTTCCTGGGCCATGCCTTGGGAGGAGGGGAAAGAATGGCACATCTCCACAGGTGGCTGATAGGCAGAGCTAGAAGAAGGGAGAGGACATGAGATGGCTGCTTCCTTGGTTTCAGCTCTGGTGGAGGGACAGAAACTTCCTCAGCCTCTTGCTGGGGCTGTAAGAGCTCACTCACAGCTGGGGCAAGGAAGGGACCCCAGTGAAGGACGTTTCCAAGCCCATCATTCACAGAATCCAGCAGGGTTAAGGTTCAGGTTGTGGATTTCAAACCCTAGGCAGCAGCAGTGGATCCCATGGAAACAGAGAACTTCCATCTGGATGCTGCAGCCCCTTCCTCCCTGAATCCCCAAGGAGGGCAACCCTTCTTTGCCAGTGGCTGCCTCCTCCTGGCAGTGACTCACCCGTTTTCACTGAGGTATCCACAGCTGGGTGTGGAGTGGGGTGGCCCCACAGGGGTCGGGAAGCTCCTGTCCTGCCTAGGGAACTGTTGGAGTGGTGACTGTGTCAGGATTCCTGGGCTGGGGGACTTGATTCCAACTCGTCTGGGTTGATCGTAGGCACTGGAAGGGTCAAACAGATATTGGAGCGTTACAATTCTCCTGGAAGGACTTCTGGCAGCACCTGGGAACAATTTATCAAAGGCAAACGTGCTGTCCCCTCCAGTGCAGCCACCTGGGCTGACAAACTCCCAGCATAGGAGATAGTAGTAGATACCAAGATTGCACTCAGCACAAAGACAGATGAGCAGCAGCACCACCAGGGAGAAGAAGCATTTTGTTTCAGAACAGCCTCTGTCTCTCCCCCTGTTCAGGTACCTTACCTGGTGTAAAGGCACTGCTCGCTGTGGGGCTGGAAGGGCTGCTCGTGGCTGCAGGACAGAGAAGCTTCCGAGGGGCTCTGCGGCTCCTTCTTGATCCGAGCAGGAGGACTGTGAAAAGCTACTGAGGGGAGGGAAAGGAAAGATCAGGTTGGCACTTTTCTCCTTTATGGAGAGCTGTGATTATCCACCAGTGAAAGGTCAGCGGAGATGCCGCCACTTTGTCCTCGTTCAGGTGGCTCTGATAGAAACAAAATGCCAACGTGCACAGCTGCTCACTGGACTTCCCCGAGCGCTGCCCTTGATTTAGTGAAGTTTGTCATCAAGCCTTAAATTCATCAGCCTTAAAAATGCAAATCTAATGACATGCTCTATGATGATCCACAGCACCTGGAAAAGGATTTAGAGTGGGTATTTCCTAAGCTGTTCAGGGCTGGGACAGACATTTTCTGTTGTGTCCCAAGGTGTAGCTTGCACGTTATTTTTTGAAAACATAAAGGCAAAGTTTTGATTTGCATCATGCAAGGTGGTCTTTCTTTGCCATGCCTGGGAAGAGAAAAGAGTCTTTCTGTGTGTGGGGCACCTACTTCCCTGTCTGTAGCAACCCTTTTCAATGCATGGATCAAACAGGTATATACAATCCATCTAAAAATGCTGATTGGTCAGCTGAGTCTCAGGGGGGGAAAAAAAATAAATTGCTCTCTCCATTGCACTGACCTCCATGGGAATTTCAAGAAGCTGGATGTGTTAGGAGCAGCCAGGGCTTTCCAGACCCTAATGGCTGGAACAGGCTATTACATTACAACTGACTCATGAATTCACTCAGAGTGAAACGTGGGACCATCCTCAGTTCCAGGTCAAAAAGAGGAAGAAATAAGAAATATGACTCAGAGACCAAGCCCAGCTGTGCTGCAAGGCCAAGTCCAGGGAAAGAAGGTAGAAAAGAGCAACCAGTAAAAGTGTTTCATTTCAGTTTTCACGGGGGAAAACTGCCCTGGACAGAGAGGAGGGGTATCAGCACAGGAAAGGCACCAAAATTCGAGTTTGCCCTTGTCCCCTGAGATGTGTGATCTTCCCCATGCTACTTACAGTTTTCTGAATGAAAGTCAGGCACAAACTGCTCATCACTGTCTGGAACCTGAGCTGTCAGGAGAGACAGAGAGAGAGAGGGAGGGAGGGAGAAAGGGAGGGGGCAAAGGATTAGTTTGGGCACTTTGTACAGTATAATTAACAGTATATCAGAAATAAGTCTGTGCAGGAAAGATCTGAGCTTTCTGCTGGTATAACTTTAGTGACTAAGGATAGTTTCCCTTTGGGATTAATGAACAGTGGTGTGTCCTGGGAGAACCTTAACCATAGCACATACTGTGTTAGAATATTTTATTACTTCTAACCATTACTTTTACATCCCTTTTAGTGCAGGGAAAGGAGAGCTTGCAGCAGATTGTTATTTGATAAAGTCTGTCTCTGCTGCTGAAAGAAATGCTGCTGCCAGTATATAACAGACAAACCTACAGTTTCTGTTATTGCAGGGATTACAACAGATTGCACTCCCTCAGCTCTAAAGCAAAGGTGATATAGTCAAAGAAGACATAAGGAATGGAAGCCCACTAATCTCAGTCACTTGAAGCCAACCTAGACAAGACAGGCCAAAAATAAACCTCAGGAAATAACAAACACTGCACTAACAGGCAGTGAATCAGAATGGAACCAGCCAAGCTCTTCACGCTGACCTGTGTGACAACAAACTGCAACTACAAACAATGAAAGGTGGGGAACAGGGGGAGAAAAAAAAAAACACCTAGAAAATTCATTCTATGAATTATCTTCAAAAAATCAAGGTGGAAATAGAAGAAACGACGGGGATCACAGTGTGTGAGCCGAGTTTGGGGCTTGCAGCCTGTGTCCCTGAGGCTCTGTGGCATTGCTGAGGATCTCATTAAGAGAATTACAGGCTGAAAGCAACAGGCCACAGAGGAGATGTGAGATGAAGGGCAAGGCTGAAATGAGAGCACACAGCATCGCTGCTGGGCAGTGATGTTCGCAGGCAGCTCCAGACCTGTATTAGAAGGCTAAAGGGAAAGCTGCCAGAAGAATATTTCAATTTTTGTGTTCATTATCTACTCCTTATAGTTGCAATACAGAGAGAGGTTTTACAACATATTTCATATTTTTGCTTTTTCTTCTGCATTGTTCAGGAAGGCTCTCTTAAGTGATCTATTGCCTCCATCTCATGAACAAATGCTACACACGGAGACACGACCAAGATATTAATAAAAATATTGTCACCATTCAGGAAAATATTTTGACATACAGGTGAATACAGGAAAACCAAAGATAGTTTGCTTCAGAGAGTCACTTTTCATGTTAGAAGTCTAGAAATGGGAGTCGCCATGGGAGAAACCAGTTCTCCTATTTGTGGTCTGAAATCATAAGCTAGAATATTAAAGCACATATTGAATTTCTCAAGGATTTCCCTTGGACTCTGACTACATGCTATGAGGATATGTTTTGAATTTTCTAGAAAATGGATCATCTACAGCACTGGAATTGAGTGAGTTCACCACTCCGTTTAGTTTCATTTAGAATTAATGTGACTCCTTGGAATTTGAAGTTTTCCCTGAAGTTCAAAGGCACAACAATTTAGACACCAATCTGAAAGTTGTGTTAATTCCAGGAAGTTCCCCAAAAAAGTTAAAAAAAAAAAAAAAAAAAAAAAGAAAAAAAAAAGAGAAAAAGAAGCATTTTGTTCCCCAAATTAAAAGAATACTTTCTTGTTTAGGAAAATACCGACGTTCCGGCAAACAACAAAGATAAGTGACAAATTAGCATAAAATCGAACCAGTTGCAAGTAGCCTGAAACGAAAATTGTACCCAGGAAAGAGGGCCAGCAGCCAAGTTCCATTCATAAGCAAATGCCCAGCACAATGGTGTCATTCAGCGT